TATCTATCTATCTATCTATCTATCTATCTATCTATCTATCTATCTATGTGTCTATTTATCCATCTATTTATCATCTATCTCTGTGTATGTATGTATGCATGTATTATGTATCTCTATCATCTGTCTCTGTGTACGTATCTATCTATCTATCTATCTATCATCTATCTATCTATATCTCTTTGTTTATCTATCTATCTATCTATCTATCTATCATCTATCTATCTATATCTCTTTGTTTATATCTATCTATTGTATGTGTGTATGTATGTATGTATGTGCATCTATCTATCTATCTATCTATCTCATTGGTGACTTTATACATGCATATATATACTGTTACTTTGATCATATTCTTCACCTCTTTCCCACTCTTATTCCCTCACCACTTCCTCTGTATCTCTTATTTCCAGCGAGCTTTTCAGTCTCTGTAATCTGTAGACCCCGGGAATGAATAATTTCTATTCTCCATTTTATACTGTGGCTTTTAGAATTGTGACCTTCACTGTTTTACTGAGTATAGGGTCCTGTGAGACTGGCAATAGCCACTCTGTGAAAATCTTGGGGAGCAAAACTGGGTAAAGGCAGCGCAATAAGCTCTCCAGTGTTGTCAAAGATCTGGGGGGTGGGAGGGCGTCTCAAGTTTCATTGTTGGTCAGTGGGAACCTTGAGATTCTCTCATGGAGACATGTGAGCATGTTATAGAAACGACATAGTTCCCACTTGTGAGGGTACTCGCTACCGTGGCCTCTCCGTAAGGGAAACAAAGAACAGTATTTCTGAAGCTTGTTGGGGGCTCTCTGGTACACAGAGCTTTAGCGTATGATTTAGCATCACTGATGCTCCAGCAGCCCTGTGGGCTGGGCCATTATTTTTCTCATGGGCAAAGCAATGTGGACACTGGGCTGGAATGTAGGTCTTCGAAATACAGCAGCTTACCTTTACCACAGTGGCCTGGAAATAGAAAATGTCTATCTGACAATAAATGAGACAATACATACAAGAGCCCTCGAAGACCGCTTGGCATATTAAGGCATGGCAAATAATGTTAGCTGACATTCTTATTTTAACACTCAGAATGTTTTTGGAGGATAGGATGTACTTAATGCCTTGGAGTCATAGTTCTGTATTTTTAAAAATTTTACAGTCCTGTATTAAATGATGATCTTATATCAGATTTTGATGTCTTGAGGTTTTCAGAAAAATTCTATGGGATACACCTGAGTGTATCCCAGCAAGCTCATGCCATGCTGACTAAAGTGGTGGTCAAGAGGAACCACTCAATGATCGAAGACCAGGTTCAGTGTTGCTCTCTTTAGGCAGGTGTCTGAGAACTCTCATGCACTGTTTTCACAGCCAGCCATAGGATTGTTGTGTACAGGAAAGTGAACTTGCACACACAGATTGTGTGAAACAGTGCCTGGCCTGAGGAGGGCACTAGATAAAAGTGCCTTTCTCTTGCCCTCAGACTTCTCAACAATTCTACCTTGGATCAGACAGCTCCTGACAGTGGAATATTCTGCCAGCCACATCCTGCTGTCTACTGACATAGGTCTGCAGCTCTTAATCTGTTCCAGGTCAAAACTGTGTCAGTTGTGTACAAGGCACCATGTGGGCTGGAAGTGCACAGAGAAGTTCAATATAGCATCTCTCTCTCTCTCTCTCTCTCTCTGAAGGTTACATACAACAGCGACAGATGTTGGTTCTTAGTCAAAGGTGATTTTTACCCATCAAAGCATCTTTGGAAATGTTTAAAGTGTATTTTTTCCTTTCCTTCCCCTTCCTCCTGGCTTCAGGGATTGAATTTAAGTCCTCAAGCATGTTAGGCAAACACACCACCACTGGGTTACATGCCCACCACTCTTTTTATTTTGAAACAGGGTCTCGCTAAGTTACCTAATCTGGCCTTGAATTCAGCCTGTTGTCCAGGCCTTCAGCTTCAGCTTCAGCTCTTGCCTCAGCCTCAGGAGTAGCTGGGATTCCAGGCTTGTACTACCAGGCCTGGTAGAGATATTTTTGATCTCTATGACAGAGGGCAGGGGCTTGCTACTGGCTTCTAGGGTTCCAGTCCAGGGATGCCGTGAATACTATAAACATACAGGCAGTCTTAGTCCAAATTATCTGATGCTAAACGTCAGCAATGCAGTTGTTAAATACCTTGCTCATGAGCAGAAGTAATTAATTTACAAATGGTAACACCAGGATCTGCTGGGGATGGCTGGCATTTGGTGGGCCTTAACTTATCTAGAATATCCCTTACTTGGAATCCCATGCAGCCAGGGACCCATAGGCACACAGTTTAGGACAGGCAGAAAACTTAACATCATTAAATTTGTGCCCCTACCAGACCAAAGACTATTTTGCTAAATACTAATACTATTTTAAATATAGTAGTAACTCCTCATCATATTCTTTGTTTTAAAGGCATTAATCCCAGAAATGGAAAGGTTTAAACAACAGAGCACTACAAATTTTGTATCACTGTTTTGGCAGATTTTCACTTTTAAATGTATTCCCTTTTAGACAGTAGTCTTCCTTTTGAACAAATGCAATGGACTTCCAAAATGCTCCGTTAATTTTAATAACCAGTATTGACAAGACTACTACTGATAGCTACGCACTACTCGATGTACCTTTTACGCTCTTTTTTCCAACTCTAGGCACAGCCTATTATTCACATTTTATTTGCGAGGAAACTGAGGAACAACACAAAACAACTGAAGAAGTTGCTTAGGCCACGCAGCTGTTAGACAATGGGGCCGGGCAAACTTCATCTCTTATTTGGGAGTTAAAATTTTTGGTCTGTTTGTATCTGTAATTACTTTCTCTAACTTGAGCCCAGCAGCGTCTGCTCTAATAAACCCTTGCTTCTGGCTAGGTCGTGGCGCTCCAGAAAGCTCGCTGCCTGAGGGCGGAACTCTGCAGCTGTCCGCACCCTAAGAAGGGTTCACAGAGACGCGGAGAGCGTGCTGCACGCCTACTGGGCTACGAGAGGAGGTGGGGCGGATAGACAGGGCACAGTTTAGAGCACGCGCCTAGGTTGCTACACTCCTATTGGCTTCAGAGCGGTGAAGGCGGGACAGATGGGCGGGGCGTAGTAGAGAGCGTGTCTCTCAGCGGCTTAGTTTCTACAGGTTCACTGAGGAAGGCGTGGTTTACGGTCTCTTAGCCTTAAGGCGGGGAGGGTAGGCGGGGCACAGTTGAGATCACGCGCTCCGGTTTTCGCGCTTCTATTGGTCGAAACAGAAGGCGTGGCTCGGCGATGTCTCTATCTCCACCTCGGGGCGGAGTTTTTTGGGGGCGGGGCACAGGCAGGGGCGGGTGTTCTGGGAAATCTTGAGTTCCTCACCGGGTCTCGGCGAGCAAGGGAGAGCGTTTGGGCTTGGCGTTCAATACCGCGGGAGTCTGTCAGGAGCAGGATGGCGGCTTCAGGCGAGGCGCGCCGGGTGCTGGTGTACGGCGGCAGGGGCGCTCTGGGCTCGCGCTGCGTACAGGCCTTCCGGGCCCGCAACTGGGTAACACTGCGAGACGGCCGCTGCAAGCGGCAGACTCTAGGAGTAGCGGGGAGATCGGGGACTGCCAGCCATGTGCACCGGTGACTAGGCTGCACGCGCACGCACCGGTCTGCTCTGGGCCACAGGTGCCTGGCCTTTGCCCTGCAAAGAGCGTGAGGTGGAGGTGCTCCCTAGGCCTCCTCCAGGCCCAGAAGGTTCAGCGTGACTTGGGAGGGAAGAGGAGCGGTGTGAGCAAACTGGGAGGGGAAAGGCAGAATGAGACTCTGGAATTGGGCTGCCCTAAGTTACTAGCCTAGTGACCTTGAATTGATTCCTTGGTGCCCGCTAGCCTCAGTTCCCTTGCAAAATAAATGACAGTAACGTTCCTGCTTATTCTTGGGCCAATCGTGATGAATAAATGAGATAATAGGTACACGCCGTTTAAGTGTTACCGATACTGCAGCCTGTGTTGCAGGCAATATTATTAGCCCTGTTGGAACTGGTAGTCGAAGGCTCAGCCCCGCAGCTGCTGACATCTTTGCTTAGTAAAGGATATTTCAACTACTTTGTCTAGTCAGATGTCCACTCCCAGACGGTGGCAAGTGAGTACAGAACTGATATTGGCCCCAGCCTTTTAGCAGGGATCAGAATGGCTCGGCTCAGCAGGAATCTAGAATCACTTCTAGGGTAAGCCCTGGAGTTTGGAGCACCTTCCTGAGATTTTAGACAACAGAGAGGGGCACAAGATTTTATTTTGGCTTAAGCGTGGTACAAGAATAATACCACTACCTATCTAGAGCCCTAGAAGACTGGGATATTTTCCACAGTCTTCGACGAGTGGAGACAAAGGCAGCTCTGAAGATGTGAGGTGTGTCTGCCTCCACTGGGCCCTGTACACCTACATATCAGCTCTCCTTGACTCTAACTTCATTGATCTCTTGTGCTGGTTGCCTTTTATTGTCACATTGACAATCTAAAGTCACCCAGAAAGACCATCATTTGATCAATTGCACGGGTCGATTTGTCTGTGCCCATGTCTGAGAACTTGTCCTGATGGATGGTTGACACGGGAGGACTTAGCCCATTATAGGTGGCACTATGTCTGGGAAGGTTGAGCTTTGGCTGCATAAGGAAGCAGCTGAGCATGAGCCAGGCAGCCAGCCAGTAAACATGGTTCCTCCTTGGCCTCTGTATTGAGTTGGATATGCTGATTTTCCTGGGATTCTGTTCCCTCTCCTTCCTGTCACCTTAGGGAAGGCTGGGTGGAGTCGACTTTATTATTCCCCATGGTTTGTGGTATACTAGTAATGAGGGCTGAGTGAGGCTGTAATTGCTCCTAAAGGTAGATACTGACATCTGGGTCTTCAGTCTGAAGGACCTGGAGGTTTCTGAAGTAAAACTTCTCGACGGAGGGGTGACCATCCTCCATGTCACTTTGTTTTTACTGACCCTTTTAATCAGTCACCCGCTTTCTATGGTGGAGAAGATCGCCTCTTTATGGCAGAGCCAGCATTAATACCTGAGTTGGATATCAGCACTGAAGGCTCATTCATCTGCCTTTGCTGAAGGGCAGGGGTCTTCCATAGGACAGCCAGACAACTGTCATCTCTACGAACCCAAGAGTTCGAATTGTGAAGGGTTTTACATTTTGAAATGGTTTTATAACACGAATAGAGTAACAACGAGTGGCACATATAGTTTATATTTCAGCATCTGTCATTTTCAGGATGGTCCATCCCTGCCCCTCTAACTCCATATTATTTGTAGCTGTCTCCTGGGCTAGCAAGTTTACGTATTGGTGGCAGAGATCACAGAGTGACCTCAGGTGTCTTTAGATACATGGAAGGTTTGGCCTTCCGAATCCAGCAGGGAGGGGGAAGGATGGTGTTCAGAGTTGGGGTGCAGTGTGGAAGACAGTGGACCAACTGCAGTCAGTGGTCCCTCAAGGATGTCTGGGAGGTCAGTTGTTGCTACCTTTCTCTAGTGGGTTTTGTTTACATGGTAAATATCCAAAGATCTGAAATGCTTCTAAATCCTGAGCTTTTAAAGAGCTATATGATGCCCTACATGGGAAGTTTCATGCCATGAACCCGGTTCAAGATTTAATTTAAAAGTGCTTTGTAAAATTACTTTTAGACTGAGTATACAAAGTATACTAAACGTGAGTTTTGTGTTTAAACTTCAGTCCCATCCCCAAGATAAGTATATTCAAATAGTTTAGAATCCCATGTTGCAAACTGGAAACATTTCTGGTTCCATGTGTGTCAGTTTAAGTCTCTTCACTTTTTCTTTGCTCCCATTTCTGGGGGTTGCTCCTTAGAGAAGTCACAACCCACCAACTCTTGACCAGAGCTGTTGTTCTTGCTCTAGTGGGTTGCCAGCATCGATGTGGTGGAGAACGAGGAGGCCAGTGCCAGCGTGGTTGTTAAGATGACAGATTCATTCACGGAGCAGGCCGACCAGGTAATTCTAAAAGATCTCTCACGGTGACAGGAGAGGCCCAGGGAGAGTTCCCCTGGCTGTGTTCTTTGTCTGCCAATTCTAAAATCCTCTAGAGGAAAACTTAGAAAACGTGAAAAACAAAAGGTAAATTCTAGGATCTATTTCTGACTGGCTTATTTTGGCAGGTTTCCTTGCCTTTACTATGCCTGTCCTGTGTTACTGGTTTTGCGTGTCTTATGTTTTATATTTGATAGGTTTTTTAAAGTCTACCCTTTAGTTTAAATACTTTAACTCACGTAAACACTTTGCTGATGTATAATATTTTATTTTGTTGGTTGGCTGTGGCTTACTTAGTTTTTCCTTATTGTATGCTTCAGGTTTTCTTATTTAAATTAATTTGCTTTTATTATTTAATGAGAATAGTGTGGTTAAATATCTTTGTATATCTGATATATTTTGAAAAGTGAAGTTAAGCTAGTTCAAAGCATAACAGCATTATTTTCAGTTATGAAATTATGGGCAAATTGTAAAACAGGAAAAACGATGAAAACTCTAGGAACATGTAAATAAATGACACAAACTTAGTCTATAAGAGGGTCTGCTTTGTTGTGCTTTCTCTGGTAGTCTCAGCACTGGCTGATGTTTTATATTCCTTGACTGTTTTAAATCCCAAATGTGGGAAAGATCTTTGCCTAAGGTCACACAGGCAGGAGAGTGGCACACCTAATGTTTGAACCTGGACAGTGGACTTTATGGTTGTGTCCTTCCGTAGTGAGCTGCCTTAAAACAGCATAACACCATGTGGATAAAGTAATAAAAGGTAAAACTCATGGGAAGAACAATGCCTGGTCTTGGAAAGCCAGAGTTCTTCCAGGTGAGGGTTCTGCTCTCAGAGTCTCCTCAGTTCTTAAGTGTAAGTTCTGATATCAGTGTGGGCTTATCTATTTATTATCATTATTGTTATTGTTATTATCAGAGGGAGGAGAAGGGGAGGTGCGTGAATGAATGAGAATGTTATTGTGGGTGCACATGCGGTAGAGACCCGAGGGCAACTTCTGGGAGTCAGTTCTTGCCTTCCACTACTGGGTCCAGGGGTCTAACTCAGCTAACAGGTCATGCGGGAAGCATTTTTATTTGCTGAGCCATCTTGCTAGCCACCATATAGGGTTTTTAATGTCAAAGTTGTTCCCCACCCAAGACTTGACTATATAGAATATATCAGTAGGGCAAAATGCCTTATTATAATCTATAGCTTTTCAAATCTCAATTTTCTTCCATTCCATTTTGAATTTCTTTGTCAACTATATGACACTTGGTTTTGAATTTTGAGGTACCAGAGAGGTAATTTAATCCTAGCATGTGTGAAATTGGTCTCCTGGTCAAGAAATTCAGCTAGGGACAAGAGATTTGAATCTCTAGAAGACTCTTGGGAAGAGAGCAAAATTGAAGAGGCTGGGATTTGGAATTGCTTACCTTATTGTAAGAATGAAGAAAGGTGTGAAAAAGTCAGAGTTCATAGTTGATGTGCTTCCTTGAAGAGTAGGATGGCATGGATACTGGACCCATCCATATGTGGAGAGTAGTTGCAACCTCTGGCAGTCAGGCTCCAGGTTCTGGCCAGAGAGACTTGACTTCTGGAAGAAGGGAGGAGCCTCTAGGATTGTTCAGGGCCATAGGAGGAAGGTCAACAAATAATTAACCAGATTAGGTAAAAGGCACATGATTCTAGAGTCTGTCAAAAAGGAAAGCATTAGGTGTGGTGTGGAGGAAAAGTTTGGTTTTTATTGGCTGAGCATTCCTGTTGAAGGAACAGTTTGAGTCTTCAGAAAAGAAGTAATGGTTCCATGGAGATGCCCCTGGAGAGACGTTGGGTCTTGGTATGAGTTTTCAAAAGATGGAGCATTCTGAACACCTCAGAGGCATTACCTCGGACATTGCAGCAAATAAGAGCCACAGTGGCCAGCCAACATGGCCTGTCTGCCAGACTGCCCTTTAAATAAATGATAATGAGAGTGTGTGGATTTATTCTCAGGGCTTTGAGATTTCAAACATAGAGACCGTTGAAATGAACTCTGTACTCAGCACGTACTAACATTTTGAAGTTGTCTGTTTTCTTTTTTCCTCTTTTGTTGCTTAGTGAGTGATATTTCTTTGTTAAAGTGGTTTTTGTTTGAGATGGGGTAGGGTGAATGAAATGAACCTTCTAGGTCATGAGTTTGTGATTGCTGAAGAAAATCCGTAAAGGCACAAACCAGAACTTCATAAGGCCCTGGTGATGTTCTTAAAATCCCTTTCCCTCCTTTTGTTATTTGACTTCAGGAAGTGCTTATGTCTCTGCCTTCTAGAATGCTCATGTAGAGGCACTACTCTATGGAAGCCATATTGAAAGGTGGTTGGCTTTACTATCCAAAATGCATGGAAATTCTCCCATCTGATTTTCCAGGCCATTTGATGGGCTTGTAAACTGGCTTAAAAAGAAGGGAAAGATAAAGCAAACTCACCTTCCAGTGTGTACATCTTCTTACCTCTTTTGTTTAAGGTCACTGCTGAGGTTGGCAAGCTCCTAGGTGACCAGAAGGTGGATGCAATTCTCTGTGTGGCTGGAGGATGGGCCGGGGGCAATGCCAAATCCAAGTGTGAGTCCTTCTCCGAGTTAATTATTGCTTCTGCTCTGCTCTTTGTCTAGCTGACATGGCTCTGGTATAGATGAGGCGGCAGGCCAGCTGCTTTTCTGTTTGTCTCTTGGGATCCTTGCCACAGTGCCATCTCTTTCTTTGATTTGTGGCGATAGCAGTGGGTGATTTGTAGAGACTGACTGCTCATGGTTCTACAGGCTGGGAAGTCCAGAGCCAAAGGCTAGTGGGTGTTTCCTTTCAGCATTATCCTGTGATGTAAAGTGGGCGGTCTAGAGAGCATGAAAGTAGGGTAGGGGGAAGCCTGACAGTGTGACAGTGTCACTACTTGTTCCTTCCCAGTCTCTAGCAGGGCCAGAAGGCCAACCCAGCTGTGAAGTGGTCACTGTTTCAGTGCCCTTTTACAGACAGACTCTCACAGGCGCTCACTAACTTCATCCATGAAAATGTAACTCTGTAAAGACTGTTTTTACTACTATAGGGTAGTTGTTTCATGGATTTTTATCATTGGTAAAAGCCAGGATAGGGATAGACGTTCTTATTATTAATCTAAGCATCTTTATAAAGTAAAACCCTTTTTGAAGTCATGACAGTTTGAGGAGTCTGTTGACCGCAGAGTTATTCGCTAAAGTCTATTGGCTAAAAATTTGGCAGTTAGCGGGTGAGGAAGCTGAGCCTTGGGAGATGGCATGGCCTGTGTTTGCGTCTGCATCTCTGACCACTGAGCCCTGTGCTGTTTTTACTAGACCCTGTGTTTGTATTAGATCTTCAGAGTCTGGAGGACTCCCTGTAGTGCAGGCAGTGTGAGTTGAGCTGGCCTTCTGGGTTCTTCTCTGGAAATGATGGGCTCACATTTTTTTGTCCTGTTCCCCAGCACTCTTTAAAAACTGTGACCTCATGTGGAAGCAGAGTATGTGGACATCCACTATCTCCAGCCACTTGGCCACAAAGCACCTGAAGGAAGGAGGCCTCCTGACCCTGGCTGGGGCCAAAGCTGCCTTGGATGGGACTCCTGGTAAGCCTTCATTTGTCCATGTGTGCAGTGTGAATGATTCTCCTGCTGCAGCTGCTGGATACTTCCTGGGTTGAGGAGGTACAAATCCATTTGTGCTCCCAGAACTTTCTCATTGGGTGGATTTACTGCCTCTTATCCCAGAATCTTCTTATGAGGAATACTCTTAATCTTGTTCTAGGGAAATAATCTTGGCAAGTGAATTCTTGACCCCGATTCTCTGGTCAAATTTTTTCCAGTTTCTTTAACTGTAAAACAGTGACCATGTTACCTGACTTAAGATCGTCACAGAGTTGTTGACACATAGATAGTGCCTACCATATGGCAGGGCTTACTATATTCACACCAAGTATCAAGTATCATTTTACATACTTCCACTTTACACATGTATTTACGGAATCCTGGTATAGGCATCATTATTACCTTTTCAGTTCCTTGGTTAGGAAATCTAGAGAGCTAAGTGAATTGTCCATGATTATTTAATAATGTGTAGTGAGTATAAATTGAAACAAACCCCTGATCATTTCTGGTATGTGCCACCACAGAGACCTTTTCTTTTGTATTTCATACTCCCTGTATTTGTTTGTTGGGGCTGCCATGCCTTGGCTTGATCAAACAACAGACATGTTTCCTAACATTTCTAGAGGTGAGATATCCAAGACCAAGGTGTTGGTAGGTTGGTTCTGAGGACTTGGAGGTGTTGGTAGGTTGGTTCTGACTCCTTACTCATTGGCTTGTAGATGGCTGCCTTCTTGAATCCTAGATGGTCATTGCCCTGTGTGTCTGGGTCCTAAGTTCTACCCTGTAGAAACACTGTGGTCATTCTAAATGAAGGTCGCACCCTAATGATCTCACTTTAATTAATTACCATTTTAAAGACCTTGTCTATAAATACAGTAACTCTGAATTTAGGGGAATTAACAACAGGCAAGTTTGCGGGATGAGTACATTTTATACATTCATTTAGGGCCAAGGCTGAGGTATTAGGTGACACAGAGGGGTGGGAAGCAAGTTTCATCTGTACTACTTGGGTTTAAAATGTATTCCTTTTTAAATCTAAGTGGTAGAGATCTTGGGGCACTTTCTCAGTTTTAAGTGTAACTGTCTGAACCACGAGTCTCTTGCTAATTAGTAATTTCTTGCTGCTCATTGCATTTCGCATAGCGCAAGAGCTTACAGGTCCGTGGCTGTTGGAGTAATTAAGGCTGTGTAAATGTTAGGTGTCTGTCTGCTCGAGAGCTGCTTTTTATTAAAGGGGACATGGGGCAGAGGTGCTAGAAAGTAAACAGAGAAATGAGTAATAGGTTGACATTTCAGAAACAAAACCCCAGGACTGAAAGACTAATTTTTCTAAAGGATAAAGCAGGCTCCCATTTCCTTTGGTTTATAAGTGTAGCTAGTTTGACGTGATGGTTCATCTTACTGATCCTTCTGCTCTGCACCATTCTGTGCTGTGGTCAGAAGCCACTCTTCAGGAAATGTATGATCATGTTATAATTTGGAAGAAAGTGTTCATAGTAGTTGTATGTACTTTTAAAAAGGGCCTCGTATCTGTGTTGTCCTGTTGAATTATGTCTTGGGTTGCTGGTTGCTCATTTCTTTCCTCTCCAAGCTTCCCAGCTTTTACAGTGTTGGAGTGGAGAGGTAGAGATCTCCCTGTACACTGCTGAGTTTGTTGTATTTTTAAACCATTGGCTCCCTGCCCTCTGATTAGACAGAGAAAGGAGGATGGTGAAATACTTCTAAGTAACTTCTTGAGACCTTGACCCATGTTAGCAATCTGTTGTTACTGAAGCTGGTCAGTGATTGGCTCCTGCATTGGGCTGTGAATCCCACCTCCCTGGACTTAGAATGCCCCATGAGCTGTTACACTTGCAGACCATCTGTGACAAGAGCATCCCTGACTTCAGTTAGCAGAGCCTCCGTGAGTTGTGGGAGGAGAGGAAGCTGAAGAGGGCCTGTGTACTTGTGTCAGGATGTGCTCAAATGGGATACCCTGGGCACGTGCAGCTTTTTGTGCTTGTTATACCTTGGTACATTTATTTTTAAAGTATAAGATTTTAGGCATCTTCTGTGCAATGTGGGTTTTGTTTTTTACTTACCAGAGAAAGGTACCTGGAAAATATGAAGATGACTGTCTCTTGATTACAGTTGAGAAAAACCTTAGCGGTTCTAGGTGGCCTGTCTGAGACCACCTGGCTAGGAAGTGAGGTGTGAGCTGGCAGATGACAGATTGACTGTTGACAGTGTGTTGAGGGTCTGCCACAGCAGCAGGGAGCAGGGAGCCTGTGCTGCTTAATTACTTTGTAGGCAAATACCCTGGATGAGGCAAGGGGAGAAATAGGGGAAAAAGAGGGAGTAGAGAAGGTTCTGTCCCTGGAAATGTTCCACAGAGGAGTTGCTGTGACCAAGGGGCGAGTAGATCTTAGGGAGAAAGTGGAATGTATTTTATAGGCAATGTATTGTTTTCATTAGTGTAATTTTATGAGCCTGTTTTAACCAGCACATACAGGAAATTTCACATGATGATGAAAGACATGTACTTAATAGGAGGCTGGTGCCTACTCAAGCACCTGATCCCTACAGCACTCCCCAGGTCCATTAGTCACAGACTTCAGGCATCCGGAAGCATTCTATATGTGTTCTTGTGTACATCCAGCCTCACTCTCTTTCCATTCACACACTTTTACATTAGAAGCAGTTTTTATTTTTTGGAGCAGAGTTCATCCTGTGTATGTTGGAATGGACTTGAACTCACACTCCAGTGGCTGGGATGGCAGGTATGTGCCATCATGACCATCATGTTCATATAAATAAAAATTTATTGAGGGCTGGGGAGATGGGCTCTGTGGGAAAAGACATTTGCCACCAAGCCCGATGACCTGAATTTGATCCTTAGGACTGTCGTGTAGAAGGAAAAAAAATCTTCCACAAGCTGTCCTCTAATTTTCCATGTGTGTGCTATGATGTGTGCACATGTGCATAGTCTGTCCCTCTCTCTGTCTCTCTGACACTCTCTCTCTCTCTCTCTCTCTCTCTCTCTCTCTCTCTCTCACACACACACACACACACACACACACACACACACACACTAAATAAATAAAGTAATTTAAAAAATATCTTGAATGCCTCTTTCTGAGGTTGGACATGGTGGCTCATACCAGTAATTCATAGACAGAGGTAGGATTGCTGCAAGTTTGAGGCCAAGTGTATTCTCCATAGCTGGTTCTTGTCTAGCCAGGACTACATAATGAGAACCTGTCTCAAAAAAGAGACAGGCTGGAGAGATGGGTCAGTGGTTAAGAGCACAGGAAAGTCTTGCAGAGACCTGATTGGGTTCCAGACACTCACACCAGGCAGCTCACGGCTCCC